TGATGTGATGGACAAGACCCAATCCTAAGCCTAGCACAAAGATCGTGTAGTTCGTTTGCTAGAGCTTTGCCAATGTCAAGTATCTCTTCCTTTGACCATGAGAGCATGTAACTCCTGGATACCGTAGGAGTGCTTTGGGTGTATCAAACGTCACAACGTAACTGGGTGACTATAAAGGTGCACTACAGGTATCTCTGAAAGTATCTATTGTTTTATGCGGATCGAGACTGGGATTTGTCACTCCGTGTAAACGGAGAGGTATCTCTGGGCCCACTCGGTAGGACATCATCATATGCGCAATGTGACCAAGGAGTTGATCACGGGATGATGTGTTACGGAACGAGTAAAGTGACTTGCCGGTAACGAGATTGAACAAGGTATTGGATACCGACGATCGAATCTCGGGCAAGTAACATACCGCTAGACAAAGGGAATTGTATACGGGATCGACTGAGTCCTTGACATCGTGGTTCATCCGATGAGATCATCGTGGAACATGTGGGAGCCAACATGGGTATCCAGATCCCGCTGTTGGTTATTGACCGGAGAACGTCTCGGTCATGTCTACATGTCTCCCGAACCCGTAGGGTCTACACACTTAAGGTTCGATGACGCTAGGGTTATAAAGGAAGTTTGTATGTGGTTACCGAATGTTGTTCGGAGTCCCGGATGAGATCTCAGACGTCACGAGGAGTTCCGGAATGGTCCGGAGGTAAAGATTTATATATGGGAAGTCCTATTTTGGCCACCGGAAAATGTTCAGGTTTTTTCAGTATTGTACCGGGAAGGTTCTAGAAGGTTCCGGAGTGGGGCCCACCTGCATGGGGGGACCCACATGAACGTGGGTAGTGGGGGCAAGGCCCCACACCCCTGGTCAAGGCGCAACAAGATCCCCCCTTAGAAGGAATAAGATCATATCCCGAAGGGATAAGATCAAGATCCCTAAAAAGGGGGGATAACAATCGGTGGGGAAGGAAATGATGGGATTTCTTTCCTCCCACCTTGGCCAACGCCCCAATGGACTTGGAGGGCAAGAAACCAGCCCCTCCACCCCTATATATAGTGGGGAGGCGCATGGGAGCTTCAGACGAAGTTCTGGTGCAACCCTCCCCCTCTCACAAGTACTCCTCCTCTCCCGCGGTGCTTGGCGAAGCCCTGCAGGATTGCCACGCTCTTCCACCACCACCACGCCGTTGTGCTGCTGCTGGATGGAGTCTTCCTCAACCTCTCCCTCTCTCCTTGCTGGATCAAGGCTTGGGAGACGTCACCGGGCTGTATGTGTGTTGAACGCGGAGGTGCCGTGCGTTCGGCACTTGATCATCGGTGATTTGAATCACGACGAGTACGACTCCATCAACCCCGTTCACTTGAACGCTTCCGCTTAACGATCTACAAGGGTATGTAGATGCACTCTCCTTCCCTCGTTGCTAGTTTCTCCATAGATAGATCTTGGTGACACGTAGGAAAATTTTGAATTTCTGCTACGTTCCCCAACAGTAGAAGGCCGGAAGTACCGCGCGAGCAGTACTACCGCGTTACTACCGCTAATTACTCTGGGCTACATAAAGAACAACAGTGGTGGGGCAGTAGTAGTGTCGTACCGCCCTACTATCGCCCTACTGTCGTTGAAGCAAGAAAGAGTCCAATAACCCAAAATAAGTGGTAGTGACCGCGACACTGGAACCACGGAAGTACCGCGCAAGTGGTACTACCGCTGCCCAGAGCGGTATTACCGCTAAAGTGCTTCACAATCACCAAACAGAAAACAGAGGGAACTCCATTAAAGAGGGAAAGTTTAGTGGGTGCAAAGGAAAGTGTACATGTTGATTCCACCTAAACCTTTCCGAAGCGGACCCCCTCTTAATAATACGGTTTTCCTACGACTCAAATCCACTAAAAAAGAAACGCTGGAAAATAACCGTCTTCCCTCTATATCACCAAGGGGAATAAATCGTCTCGTGTCATATGATAGATTATCTGAAATACTCAATGCACACAAGACTAGTCCGCAAATTGTATTGTCATCAATCACCAGAACCACTAAGGGAGAAATATGCCCTAACAATAGGCTTTTTCTGTATTTCCTCCATAAAAGCATGGTTAATAATGTAGCTGACTGATGCCTATAACATGTGACCATGTTATCTTTAGCCAATGTAATAGCCAACATATATAGTAGTGGGCTACAAGGAGGTGCTACTTTATTACCACATGGCCCACCATACACTGTCGCATAGCTTCTTGAAACTCGTACTACAGCTGTTTGTAAATCTGTAGTCCGCTTTATCTTATCTCTCCTAGTCTCTCTCATCCAACTCAGTAAAGATATAATATAATATTTAAAGTCTTACAGCCCGCCTACGTCACCTTATTATACTTGCTCTAATACACCCCCGATTCAGCGCCCTCCCACACATCCCAAACATCCCAACAAATCTGGACGAATAGACGAGAAGAGGGCGAAAGTAGGGGTTAGAGCATCTCTAGTAGATCCCGTATACCTTGTCCCACAAAATTCGATTTATAGGATACCTCAAAACATTTTTTTAACTTTTTTACAATATGACTTTTGTTTCACCAGAATAGATCATGTACAAAAAAGTTGTGTTACCGGTAAAGTTACATCCCCCAATAAAAACCTAATCTAAAGTACAACATGATCTTTCAATACACATGTTGAGCTCGCATCGGTCGAGCTGTTGCTGCGGCGCCATTGCCGAAGGCTCCTCCCGCCACCGCTGTTGGCGCGCACCACGTCAGACGCGGCTGAGCTCCTGCTCGCGCCCGCGGCCGAGCTCCTGCTCGCGCTAGCTAGCTAGCAAAACATGTATGCGGCTACCTACCTAGCAAATCTCGTACGTGGCTAGCTAGCACATTGCCGCTGTGTCGGTGGCCAATGGCGAGCGGCTGCGCCGACGTGCCGCGAGATTCAGCCGGAATTGAGCTCGGGAGGCCATGGCGCCAACTGTGAGGGAAGCGGCTGGGGCTGAAATTTTCCTCCCTCCAAGGATAGAGGATAGTGCAAAAAAAAGGGGCGAAATCCTGTATTGGACTCGTGGATACCGGATCCCACAAAAAATTTCTGAAACGGCCAGATTTGATGAATTTGTTTGGACGGAGATACGAGATGAATCCCGCAAATCATAGCGGACGGCCGGTTTGCAGGATCTACCACAGATGCTCTTATATACGCATCTGGACCGTCCGTTAAGCTCCCGTTTCTTAACCGGCACAAAAGAAAAGCACGCGAGACCCTCGCGCAGCAGCCTCTCCTCCCTGCCCGCGCCGCCATCTCTTCTCCCTGCCCGCCACGCGCCTCGCCGCGCCCGCAGCGCGATCTCTTCTCCCTGCCCGCCACGCACCGCGCCGCCTTCCCTACTCTCGCCGTGCAGCACCGCGACCCCTACCCGCGCCGCGCCGCGTTCCCTACCCGTGCCGTGCGGCACCGCGACCCCTACCCGCGCCGCGCCGCCTTCCCTACCTGTGCCGTGCAGCACCGCGATCCCTACTCGCGCGGCGCCGCGCCGCCCCTCGCCGCCTTCCCTTCGTCCTACTCGTGCTGGGCGCCGCTACCGACGCCAAACCCTACGGTGCACCCTTCTTCCGCTGCTGTTACCTCTCCTATCTCCACTTTCTCGTTATCCCCTTGGGCCTTGGGTTTGTTCTGAATTTTTTGTGCCTCGGATGTAAAACTGGGACGAGGAAATTGCCATGTGGTTGTTTGGAGAATTTTGGTGCACCCTTGCAGTAACGCGTCGCCAAAGAATTTCTGTTGTTGTCGCTTGGGGAGTGGAAAGCTAAATGATATTCCATTTCTTTTAGATCAAACCAGCCGAGTAATCTTATTATCTCCTGTAAATTTGTGTTGAATCTGCTGCTTGTATGCACTTTGCCAAATATTTCCTGCAAATTTTATCGTTTAGTTTTTCGATTGAGCACTTATTGTACACAATAACTTGGACATACTCTGACTTGGTTACTACCATGATTCAGGATTGACGACAAGTGTCAGAGAGACTAAAGCCTCAGGTCATAGTGGTGCGCCAATTCGGTAAGCCTCTTTTTCGTCTTCCTTTTTATATCATTTTTGTATCGATTTTCTTTTTAAATTCACGACTATATATATATATATATATACCCTATTTCAGAATTCGGGAAAGAAAGGAACATCATAGGCCCCGTTTGTCGGATTATGTTTTAGCTTTCTCCTTGGATAAGCTAAGCCTCATCTAAACGGCCGGGTGGTTTATGCGAAGCAAAGAGAAAAAGTAGCCAACCGAACAGGAGAGAATTCCTTATTTGACACTACCTTAAAATGTGGTTCCTTATTTGACCCTGAAGAACTTTTTTTCCCTATTTGACATGTAGTCTAATTTTTCTTCCTTACGTGACATCGCCGTCCGTTTTGTTACACCGTTCCGTTAAATTGTTTTTGGATGGACCAAAATACCCCCGTGTTAGTAGCTAGCCCACAAGAAGTTTTGACCAGAGTCGCTAGCCCACAAGCCCGATCCCGATCTGGCCATCCTCTCGTCTCTCTGTTTCTTCGATTCCCCACCCCCAACCCTAGCGGCGGCGGCAGCGGGTTGCAGGCTCGTACAGCGGCGGCGGCGGCGTGAGCTGAGGGGCCATGGCTCAAGGGGTGACTGCGGGCGGAGGATCAAGCACGACTGCGGGCGCCGCAGCAAGCACCGCGGCGGACGGCGGCCAAGGCGGGGCTGGGGATGGCTTGTCGGTGAGGTCCGCTGCTGGCGGCCATGGCGCGGCTATGCAGCACTTGCCGATGAGCTCAGCTGCGGGCGCAGGCCATGGCGATGTTGCGGGCGGTGCAGGCCATGGCGATGCTGCAAGGTTGGGCGTGGATGCAAGCTTGGGCCACGGTGCGGCTGCAGACTTAGAAGGGTGAGTTCCTTCCACAATTTCTCTTCAAATGCAGGATTAGAAGGAGGAGCGGGTTGACCCATATCCAGTAGCAATGTTCATGCATAAGTTTCTCTTTTATGTACAGGATGGATCCAAATTCTTGTTATGTACTGAAAATTAGATTGCTTGGCAACCCAAAAAAAGCTAGAAAAGAGCCCATGTGCTTTTATTTCGAGAAGGTTATTGATTTCGACTTGACAAATTATGAAGATTTGGTTGAATCAATTATAGTGCAGTACCAGCCACGTTATTTGGAAGTTGTGCATGTTCACTACTATGATGAAGTTCTGAAAACGTTTCTAGAAATAAAATCAGACCAAGAGTTGATGTATATGTTTGAGAAACATGCTAAGTCAAAGATGGTGCAGATGTTCATTGTATATTGGGAACCCTCTGAACCATATGAGCCTATCATTGAGTATTATAGTGATGTGCATATCCAACCTAAGAACAACATAGACCAAGATGATGATAGTTATCTTCGCAACCCAATACCGGAGAATGAACATGTTGGGATTGATGAAGAGAATATGTATTTGAAGGAAGAACCTAAAGCTCTAAATATGGTTCTTTTTCCTGATAAAGAAAAGGACCAAGACTATGTTGCTGATGGTGAGAGTGAGGATGAGAGTGAGGATGGGAGTGAGGATGAGAGTAAGGATGAGAGCGAGGACGAGACTGAAGTAGAGGAGGATGATGAGTTGCATGAGGTAAATCATGCCCCAAATATAGAGTATGATAAGGATGACCCTCCTATGACTGAAGGTTTCATATATCCCAATATGAAGGAGTTTAAGTTGGCCCTTTCTCAGCATGCTATCAAACATGAATTTGAGTATAACACAGAGAAGAGTGCACCATGTAGGTTCAGGGGCTATTGTAAAAGAAGAGATGAAGATAATTGTCCATGGAGGATACATGCTTCTACAACGGATGATTTGTGTACCGTAGTGGTAACTCTCTAACTTTGCTCGTTTGTAAACATTTCTTGCATGATTGTTTGAGAGTTTTTAGCTAACTAATTATATTCTTCTTTTGTAGGTGAAAAAAAATCCTTTTGGTCATGATTGCTCTAGTGCAAGAAGGAAAAAGAAGGTGAAGAATGCAACTAAGTACTGGATATGTGAGAAGGTGAAGGACTGGCTCATTGAAGATGCAACTCTAGGAGCAAAGGAATTGCGAAAGAAGCTTAAAGAACACCACAAGGTCAAAATCAACTACAAGAGAGTATATATGGGTAAGTTGCTAGCCTTGAAGCAACTATATGGTGATTGGGATATCAGCTTTGACAATTTGTATAGGTTTAAGGCACAAGTTGAAAGTTGTTGCCCCGGTAGCATAGTCCAGATTGATCATCACACAATAAATGGTAAAATCAGGTTTAGAAGAATTTTTGTTGCTATGAAACCTTGCATAGAGGGGTTCCTTAGTGGCTGCAGACCATATTTGGCAATAGATAGCACATTCTTGACGGGCAGGTTCAAGGGGCAGCTGGCTAGTGCTACCGCCGTTGATGGCCATAATTGGATGTATCCGGTTAGTTTTGGAGTCTTTGATTCTGAAACTAACGAGAATTGGATTTGGTTCATGCAATTGCTAAGACAGGCCATAGGATCACCAAATGGGTTGGCCATATGCACCGATGATGGTCAAGCAGTAATGACAGGGGTGAAAGAAGTGTTCCCAGAGGCGGAACATAGGGAATGCATGTTTCACTTGGTGACCAACTTCAAGAAGAAGTTCCATGGGAAGGTGTTTGATGACCACCTTTGGGTTGTTGCTTACTCATGGAACCCATATTTATTTGACAAACATTGGGTTGCTATGGAGACAACAAAGCCAGCTGCAACTGCATATATAAGGAAGTGGCACAATAGGTTGTGGTCTAGGAGTCAATTTTCAACTATATGCAAGGTAGACTATGTAACCAACAACCTGGCCGAGAGCTTTAACAATTGGATTAAGCACCACAAGTCCTTGAACTTGGATGACCTCTTTGATAAGGCGAGACAATTGATTATGATATTGTGGAACCGAAGGAGAAAAGTAGCAAAGGAGTTAGATGGTTTGATTCTGCCCCACATAATTAAGAAGCTGAATGCAATGACCAGGGAATTAAACTTGGAGGTGGTAGAAAGCTCAGAAGAAGTGGCTGAAGTAACTGCATTAGGTGGTAGTGGATTTAGATTTGTGGTCAACTTGCAAGAGGGGACATGTTCTTGTCGACAATGGCAAGTTTCTGGCCATCCTTGCAAACATGCTCTTGCATTCATCACGTCACTTAGCAATGCACACATACGACACTATGTGGACTTGTATTTCTCCGTTGACAAATATAGAGCAGCTTATGCCCAACTAATTCCAGCTATGTCGGACAAGACCCAATGGCCTAAATCTAACCATGGATTCTTCATGCATCCACCACTATTGAAGGCCACGGCTGGTAGGCGTAAAACTGAGAGGTACAAAGGTTGCGGTGAGAAGAAAAGGAAAAGTGGTCAACACTTATGCCCTATTTGTAAGGAATATGGGCATCATTGGCACAAATGTAAGAAAGGAAATCCAGAGGACATTTGTAACACCCCGGATGTAACTTTCCCAATTTGTACTCCAAGTCTTGCCGTTTTCGGTGTTAAGTTATATTTATTTCCTCGGGTTCGGGTTTTTTTGTCTCTGTGCGTTGTTATCGTTGTCATGCATCTCATATCATGTCATCATGTGCAATGCATTTGCATACGTGTTCATCTCATGCATTCGAGCATTTTCCCCGTTGTCCGTTTTGCATTCCGGCGCTTCGTTCTCCTCCGGTGGTCTTTTCTAGCTTTCTTTCGTGTGTGAGGATTAAACATTTTCGGATTGGACCGAGACTTGCCAAGCGGCCTTGGTTTACTACCAGTAGACCGCCTGTCAAGTTTTGTATCATTTGGACTTCGTTTGATACTCCAACGGTTAACCGAGGGACCGAAAAGGCCTCGTGTGTGTTGCAGCCCAACACCCCTCCAATTTGGCCCAAAACCCACCTAACTCTGCTACATGTTCTAGAGCGTTTGATCACGATCACGTGGCCGAAAACTGCACCTCATTTAGACTCTCCTAGCTCCCTCTATGCCTATTTAAAGACCCCTCCGTTTTCTTCTTCTTCTTCCCCCCGAAACCCTAGATCTCATCATCGCGCCCGCTGGACATTTTTCCCTGCCGATGGACGTGTCCGCCCCGCCGCCTCCAGCCACCCACGCCTCGCCACGTGGCACCCGGCCACCGTCGTCGCCGCGGCCCGCCCAGGCACGAGGCGGACCCTCTCCCGTGCCTCACCGGGCCGCCCTTCACCTCGCCCGCCGCGCACGCCGACTGCCGTCGCCCCGCCCGCCGTCCGCCGCCGCCGCCTCGCCCGCGGGTCCCCGCCGCCACTGCCGCA